ATCGTGTGACAAAAAAAAAAAAAATTGAAAGCCACCATTTTATTCTCCAGGGCTCTCAGAAAATAATCTGTGAGGGTTCTAAGTAATTATTTAATAAAAAATGTTGATTTTTAATGTCTGTGAGAAGGTTCTAAGTTTTTTTTTAAACTATTGAAATAATAATGTGTGAGGGTTCAAAGTAATTATTTAATTAAAAAAATGTTGAGGTTCTGAGAAAGTAATTTTTAATGTAAAAAAATTTTTTTTAATTATTTATTTTTTTTAAATAAATATAATAATGTGTGAGGGTTCAAAGTAATTATTTAATTTAAAAAAATGGTGATTTTTACATGTCTGTGAGAAGGTTCTAAGTAATTTATTTTTTTTTTAATAAATATTGAAATAATGTGTGAGGGTTCTAAGTAATTATTTAATTTAAAAAAATTTGATTTTTACATGTCTGAGAAGGTTCTAAGTAATTTTTTTTTTTGTAAATAAATATTGAAATAAAGTGTGAGGGTTCGAAGTAATTATTTAATTTAAAAAAATGGTGGTTTTTACATGTCTGTGAGAAGGTTCTAAGTAATTATTTCAATATTTATTTTAAAAAAAAAAAAAAAGTGTGGGGGTTCTAAGTAATTATTTAATTTAAAAAAATTGGTGATTTTTGCATGTCTGTGAGAAGGTTCTAAGTAATTTTTTTTTTTTAATAAATATTGAAATAATGTGAGAGTTCTAAATAATTATTTAATTTAAAAAATGTTGATTTTTACATGTCTGTGAGAAGGTTCTAAGAAATTTTTTTTTTTTTTTAAATATTGAAATAGTGTGGGGGTTCTAAGTAATTATTTAATTAAAAAATGTTGATTTTTACATGTCTGTGAGAAGGTTCTAAGTAATTTTTTTTTAAATAAATATTGAAATGTGTGAGGGTTCTAAATAATTATTTAATTTAAAAAATGTTGATTTTTACATGTCTGTGAGAAGGTTGAGTAAATTTTTTTTTTTTTTTAAATAAATATTGAAATAGTGTGGGGTTCTAAGTAATTATTTAATTAAAAAAAATGTTGATTTTTACATGTCTGTGAGAAGGTTGAGTAATTTTTTTTTTTTTTAAATAAATATTGAAATAGTGTGGGGTTCTAAGTAATTATTTAATTAAAAAAATGTTGATTTTTACATGTCTGTGAGAAGGTTCTAAGTAATGTTTTTAAATAAATATTGAAATAATGTGTGAGGGTTCTAAATAATTATTTAAGTAAAAAAAATTTGATTTTTACATGTCTGTGAGAAGGTTCTAATTATTTCTATATTTAAAGAAAAAAAAAAAAAAGTGTGAGAGTTCTAAGTAATTAATTAAAAAAATGTTGATTTTTACATGTCTGTGAGAAGGTTCTAAGTAATTATTTCTTATTTAAAAAAAAAAAAAATGTGTGAATATATTGAAATAATTACTTAGAACCTTCTCACAGACATGTAAAAATTTTTTTTTTTAAACTTATCACAGAAATAGAAATACTTAGAACCTTCTCACAGACATGTAAAAATCAAATTTTTTTTACTTAAATAATTACTTAGACCCTCACACATTTTTTTTTTTTTTTCTTTAAATATAGAAATAATTAGAACCTTCTCACAGACATGTAAAAATCAACATTTTTTTTAAATAAATAATTACTTAGAAACACTCACACATTTTTTTTTTTTTTAAGTAATTATTTAATTAAAAAAAATGTTGATTTTTACATGTCTGTGGGAAGGTTCTAAGTAATTATTTCTATATTAAAAAAAAAAAAAGTGTGAGGGTTCTAATATTGAAATAATTACTTAGAACCTTCTCACAGACATGTAAAAAATCAACATTTTTTAAATTAAATAATTACTTAGAACCCTCACACTTTTTTTTTTTTAAATATAGAAATAAATTACTTAGAACCTTCTCACGACATGTAAAAATCAACATTTTTTTAAAATAAATAATTACTTAGAACACTCACACTTTTTTTTTTAATATTGAAATAATTACTTAGAACCTTCTCACAGATATGTAAAAATCAATATTTTTTTTATTAAATAATTACTTAGTAATTATTTCAATATTAAAAAAAATGTGTGAGGGTTCTAAGTAATTATTTAATAAAAAAAAATGTTGATTTTTACATGTCTGTAAAAAAGGTTCTAAGTAATTATTTCAATATTAAAAAAAATGTGTGAGGGTTCTTAGAACCTTTTTTACAGACATGTAAAAATCAACATTTTTTTTTTATTAAATAATTACTTAGAACCCTCACACATTTTTTTTAATATTGAAATAATTACTAAGTAATTATTTAATAAAAAAAATATTGATTTTTACATATCTGTGAGAAGGTTCTAAGTAATTATTTCAATATTAAAAAAAAAGTGTGTGTTCTAAGTAATTATTTATTTTTAAAAAAATGTTGATTTTTACATGTCGTGAGAAGGTTCTAAGTAATTTATTTCTATATTTAAAAAAAAAAAAAAAATGTGTGAGGGTTCTAAGTAATTATTTAATTTAAAAAATGTTGATTTTTACATGTCTGTGAGAAGGTTCTAAGTAATTATTTCAATATTAGAACCCTCACACTTTTTTTTTTTTAATATTGAAATAATTACTTAGAACCTTCTCACAGACATGTAAAAATCAACATTTTTTTAAATTAAATAATTACTTAAAAAAAAAAATGTGTGAGTGTTCTAAGTAATTATTTATTAAAAAAAAAATGTTGATTTTTACATGTCTGTGAGAAGGTTCTAAGTAATTATTTGTATATTTAAAAAAAAAAAAATGTGTGAGGGTTCTAATATTGAAATAATTACTTAGAACCTTCTCACAGACATGTAAAAATCAACATTTTTTTTAATTAATTACTTAGAACTCTCACACTTTTTTTTTTTTTTTTTAAATATAGAAATATTTACTTAGAACCTTCTCACAGACATGTAAAAATCAACATTTTTTTTAAATAAATAATTACTTAGAACCCTCACACATTTTTTTTTTTTCTTTAAATATAGAAATATTTACTTAGAACCTTCTCACAGACATGTCATCAACATTTTTTTTAATTAAATAATTACTTAAAAAAAAAAATGTGTGAGTGTTCTAAGTAATTAAGTAATTATTTAATTAAAAAAAATGTTGATGACATGTCTGTGAGAAGGTTCTAAGTAAATATTTCTATATTTCAAAAAAAAAAAAAAAAAAAAAGTGTGAAATATTTCTAAGTAATTATTTAATAAAATAATTAAAAAAAAAAAATGTTGATTTTTCCATGTCTGTGAGAAGTGTCAGAACCGGTTTGGGCAGCAAATGTCGATGCTCTTGAAGGACTCACTTTCTTGAAGGTCAGTGCATCCTCCTCCTCTGCCCCCGCTGTGCTCCCTCCTTTCTCCTTGACTTCAGGCATTTCCTTCATCTTGTTGAGGAGCTCGGCTTTGGCTGCGGAGGTGTTGTAGTAGGAGGTGCAGGAGGTGGGACTGCTGGAACCATAGAGAGGTGGGGGGGAGATGGGCTGAAATTCATACCTGGCAACAAGATACAGTTCAGATCAATAGGATTTTGGTGCAAATTAAATAGAACGTCATATAAAAAAAAATAATAATAATAAAATCACATTCTACCAATGGATGGGTTTTAGGATGCAGAAATCAGCCAAGATTTGAAAAAAAAAAAACCCCCACAAAAAAAAGACTAAAACTCCGCTTGATGTTTAAACAGACTATTTAGAAAGGTGGAGCTTTTTTTTTTTTTTTTTTTTTTTTTTCGCTATAAAATGACAACAGTATGAAAAAAAACCTCCAACCTTTTATCATAAAAAGCCACCCCTGAGGTCCAGCTCAGTGACTTTGCCTAGGCCAAGATGAGGTCATCGATCAGCTGCAGGCAGGAGGAAGCATTTCCTCAGTCTCTTTTTCCCCAGAGATCGGACTGCAACATTGTACCAAAGTGAGAGGCTGCGGCAGGGACTGATCTGTGTCAAACATTTGTAAACACAGCCGAGAGCTGCACACACCGCTAACATGACTGTGCCATCCTGAATAAGCGTCTCAGCCCAGGAAGGAAAGGGGGACCCTGGATGATGCCTAAACAAAGATGGCTCTGTCTTTCTGGTGAAAAAAAAAAAAAAAGCATATGAAAACATGGTCAGAAAGGAGAGGAAATGAATATCTGGAAGTGTTACATGGACTTTTTTTGCATGAAAAAAAAATATATCTGCTGCTGGGTCCAATTTGAGTGACAGTTCTGCGGCCATCAGAAACTGAATGTAACAGAATAAGGATGGAGCTCACGGCTGAAACATAATGAAGGAGCAAAGTCTGAAAATGCACAACAAATGCACCAGCAACCCAGCATTGTATTCTGTATAGAAAGAACAAGTGTTGCCATACATGATTATTCCACTAAAGGGCGCTATCACACCGTGCAACCCAGGAACTAACATTCCTTCACCTGGACACAAGTCCTCACGGTTTTTGAACCTTATTATTATTATTCAGGATTTATATATTATTATATTATTATTATTATTCAGGATTTATATATTATTATTATTCAGGATTTATATATTATTATTATTACAGGATTTATATATTATTATTATTATTATTCAGGATTTATATATTATTATTATTATTATTATTCAGGATTTATATATTATTATTATTATTATTATTCAGGATTTATATAATTATTTAATTAAAAAAAATTTGATTTTTACATGTCTGTGAGAAGGTTCTAATTATTTATTATATTTAAAGAAAAAAAAAAAAAAGTGTGAGAGTTCTAAGTAATTAATTAAAAAAATGTTGATTTTTACATGTCTGTGAGAAGGTTCTAATTATTTTATATTTAAAGAAAAAAAAAAAAAAAGTGTGAGAGTTCTAAGTAATTAATTAAAAAAATGTTGATTTTTACATGTCTGTGAGAAGGTTCTAAGTAATTATTTCAATATTAGAACTATTCCTCCCACTGACACCAATGATGGAGCACTATTCCT